TACAGATGTACACAAGACTGACCACTAAAAGAGGAACAGCGAATATTATAAAAGCCAGGGCTGAAAGCAATTCTGCCACAACATATCCCATGTCATTTACCGTCGTCGTAGAGAAAGGAAGACCTGACGAGAAGAGCCAGACCGAGATTATCACTGTGTAACATCTTTTCTTTGTTACAATGTCCTGATAACGGAAAGGAAACCGAATCGAAATGAATCTGTCAACAGAAACACAGCACAAGTTGAAAGTCGTGGCAGCGGTTGTGTGAGTCCATAGCAAGTTTATAACATCGAATGAAATGCTCTGAACTGGTGGCTGAATCAAGCATCTAACGACGATCCACACAGGGTCAACAACAGAACCAACGACAAAGTCTGCCAAAGATAAGGAAGCTAAAAATCGGTTGGAAATTGTTCTTAACGATTTGTTTTTGTAAAACAGCCATAACATAAGTCCATTTCCTGTTACAGCTGCTAAACCGGAGAAAGAGAACCACAATGATAGAACGATGGATGCTGCACTGCTTAATCGTTCTTCCAAGCAACTAGTATTCATGTTAGTTCTTTTGCGACAAAAGAAGTAGTTTGAAATGAAAATCCAGGCAGCCACTATTCTCTCCTTGCTTCAGATAAAGGAAAAAAAACACCAATCTGGACTGACACTGCTTCAGCAGTTAATATTCACAAGATATTGGCTTTGCATGATGTGAATAAATCACTAAGACATAAGTGGCAGAATTGGAAAATACTGTCGGGGTGAATTAATGCTGGGATGATTGACAGATGATGCATCAATCATCTTGAGTTGATCACCTGTCAACATCATCTTTCATGGATCAACATCTCATTTTCTTTATAAGTTAGTTTCCAGATCCTACTGATCAAAAGAGGAAGGTAAAATGACAATCATGGGGGTATGGGCACTAATGATCGGCGGAAAGTTCAGCGATCAAAATCCGTTTTTCCTGAAGGACTGGTTAATAAGAGCTGTGTTTCATTTCTGATAAACAATTACAACAATGGATTCCGGGTAAAGTATGTAATGACCTGAATAATAAATGGTTCGGTTCCGTATTCGTACATAAGTGTTAAGTTCATCTTAGGTTCCCCGAGAGTTAATGACCATAGTTGATAATTAAGATTCAGGTTGATGGCGGCCGTCTAACAGAGAGAATAAAAGAATAGTTACCACTTATAGAAGGAAAGGACTCATTTGTTTGACACAAAAAAGTCGAATGTTTTATTTATTTTTAAATTCATGTTTGTTACAGGAGGATTTGAGATGAGTGTAGCTTTACACACTTTACACACTTTACACACTTTATTTTTCTTTTTCTTACAAAATAATTTAGATTATGTTGACCCGCAGATAGCAAATTTGCTATTCGAGGCGGGTCAATCATCAACAAACATTATTTACAATATATAGAGAAAATTAAAAACTAAACTAAAACCGGCCCTCATTTCGCTCAGCATCTGTTTCCGAGGGGCAACCTGGTTTGTTGACGTGCCGTTTGTTCCATGAGTTTCTATTATAGTTCGGTCTCTATTTGGCCAAAGTCACCTCGAGTTCCATCATTCGTCGCCATCTCTTTTCTTTCTGTTTTAAGGCCGAGATCTGAGACATTTTTTGGTTCAGAAAGACAGGGAAATGAAGAAAAGGTACTGCAAAAAGCTTGTCGAAATTCGCCATTTCTGAAGTAGTATATTAATGGGTTGATAGCTGATGAAGTTAGCGCAGTTGCCCTAACCCATGGCCATGCTAATGAATACAGTTTCTCAAAGAGGCAATCCTTCTTCGTTGTATAATAATGATAAGCAATAAAAGTCAGAATGAAACAGGGAATCCATGTTATGATACAAACACTAAAAACGAGTCCAATTGTTTTAATGGCTTTCAAATTTTTAACAACGCCACGGAGTGTGTCGTCATTGGAGTGATGACGTTCTTCCCTTATTCTCTTACCTTGTGTTCTGGCCGCCTTAAAAATAAAAGCATAACACAAAATAACCACAAATATTGGAAAAAGATACGTTATGGCTGCGAAGAACAACCACCCCGCTCCATCTTTTATAAATATCAAGAAAGGAAGAAACAGTGAGATCACCCACACCGCAGTTATCACCACATGACATCTTGTCTTGGTTACAAATTCTTGATAGCGGTAAGGAAAGCGAATCGCAATTAACCTGTCAACGGAAGCACAACACAAACTTAACGATGTGGCGCCAGCAGAGTGAATCCATAAGATCTTCTGTATGATCTTAGTCATACTTCCATGTCCACTTTGAGGCTGCGACAGATACTTGGCCAAAAATATTGGGTTCAAAACAAGCCCAACGAAAAAGTCTGCTACGGACAATGAGGCCAAGAATCGATTGGAAATTGTACGTAAAGACTCCTTCTTGTAGAGAATCCCCAACACTGTTGCGTTTCCCACCACTGCTGCCAAACCAGACAAGGAGAACCACAGTGAAAGAAATATGGATGCCCCACTACTCAGTCGTTCTTCAGAGCAGTTAAGGTTCATGTTCAGACCTTTGTAAGTTAGGAGGGAAAGGTTGGAAAAACTTTTGAAGGAGTTACAGATTAGCTATTGATTATCCATAAGCGCAATTACAGACAACCTGTCCTAACTCCGCTTACCAGTTATATGTCAACTTCTATTCAAATTTTGCATCAAATGATTAAATAGTTTGGTAGCAGATGGCTTTTTTCGTGATATGAATGTTTTAATTTCTTTTGAAGATGGTAGCACAGAATTAAGGCAGAAATTCGTTTGGTTCGACGATAACGACAATAATTCATTCATCAGCAGAGCGTTTTTTTTTCCCTGTCCTGTCTCTAGGTTTAGTATAATCCAAAATACCTTTCATTGATTTTTTTTAATTTTCGACGGTTGAATATTTATTTGCTTGTGTCGATCAGCCACAACACAAATGAACTTCAAGTTACCCGGGCTGCGATGGTTGTCTCACCAATAAGTCGTTCTTCTTCCAAGCAACCAATATTCATGTTAGGTGATTCGGAAGAAAGGAGAGATCTGGAAACACGTATGAGGTCGTTCCTACTAAGCCACTTCGCTCGGTTACGAACAGGTCAAATTTTAGCATAAATAATCTGTTCGCAGATGGCTTCTTTTGTAACATAAACATTTTAAATTTTTGCGGCGCAGAATACCGTTGGAAACATGTTTACTCGGAGTTAACTCGTTATATCTCAGTCATAAAGCGACATCTTGTATATCAAAGGAGAGCATTTTGGAAAACCTTTTAATTGAAATTATCCCTTAACTTAGATAAATTGATCGGAATACCCCAGCACCTAAGTGCATTTGACTGCTTGTTAGCTTTGTCTCCATATTTTAATATCCTTTACTATGTCCAGCCGTCAATATCTTCTTTACTTAACATAAACAACTCATATTCTTCAAAATGTAGTCAGCACTTTTTTACTTATTAGCCCGATGACAATCTGTGAGGGCTTGGACACTAAACTACTTATAATTAGGGGAAAGGGAACTGTTAACCATTGACAATGTTATCTGGCTATCCCAAAGTGCTTCAGAAACTGATCAAAGCTGAAACTGAACACATCCGGAGACTTGCTCAGTAAAAGTTGAGAAAATTGCATTCATTTACTTAGTCTCTAAGGAAAAGAAGATAGTTATCTCTGAGGAAAAGAAACACTTGTCATCAGTACTTGTTTCTAATGGTCATCCTTCTTCATTTGTACAAAATTCGCAAAGACAACAAGGTAACAGCCAACAAAAAACCCGCGCAGGAACTTATATCTACTGCCGTTCTCCCTTACATCAAGGGTGTATCAGAGGTTCTTTGCCGCTGCCTACAACATCAAGCCATACGAACCGTTTTCGAGTCGGACACAACACTTGATTACGTCTCACTTAGTACGACCTAAAGACGCCCTGAAACCATCAAAACAAGACGGTGTCGTTTACAAGATCCCATTTGAATGCGGCAAAGTGCATATCGGTGAAACTAGGAGATCAATGCGAGAAACGATAAAAGAACATGACAGAGACACACCGCTTGCTCGTACTCAGACCTCGATAAACAATGAACACATATTTTATTACATGGATAGTCAGTCTCCTTAGCAACCGTCCTTCAGATTTCCTACAATGCTATCCCTTCCTCACAAATAAAAAACAAGAAACGTTTGTTCCAATCCGACCTGTATTCGTTTCCTATTGTGCCTGTGGTCCCCAGAGGGTTTTTCTGTGGCGGTAAATAAACCGAAAATATAAACATAAAAGAACTGCGCTCGAGTGACAGCGGCTGCATAAAGTTGCTTTTTTAGTCCCTGGGTAGTCAATGGCCTTAGAGTGTGATTGAAAAAGCTCGCAGAAAGAGACACAGATAAAACGCCATGCATGCTTCTCAAAATAATGGGTAAGTTTTAATTCTTAAGCACTTACTTTTAGCACAAAACTAATAAACGTCTGGAGATATCAATCCATTACACCATCACTCGTTAATGGCTTTCCACCTTTATGTCAATAAAAACAGTCCTGTTTTACTGAGGTTGACCCTAAAGCTCTGTCTCTATCTCTCTGTCCCAGTCCAACAATTTCCAGATATTCGGCCCCGATCCGGTCTCAAACCAAACTGACGTGTACTTTCTACTGTGAGGCGTTAACGTAACCATCGAAAGGTGCGGCAGAATGCGAGGCGAAATTCTTTATTTCGAAAGTAGTATATCAATGGATTAATAGCAGATGAGGTAAAAGCGATAGCCTCTACCCAAGGCCATACAGCAGTGTCTATTTCATCAGAACCACAGAGGTCATTTGCCACCAAATGATAACACTGAACTAAAGTAAGACCAAACTGGGCATCCATGAAACAACATAACACTTACGACTGTTTTAATAGCTTTATAGTTTTTCACAATACGAACTCTGCGATTATTATGGTTCAGATAATTTTCTCCGGGTGCTATTCTTCTACATTGGTGTCTGGCCTCTTTGAGCATGAAAATATAACTAATAGAAACCACAAATAAAGGAGTAACACATATCATAAATGCAAGAGATAACCACAACGCTGCATCGTCTTTGTCGTTATTCACTAATATCGTCGAGAAAGGAAGTGCCAATCAAAATAGCCATATCAAAATAATGACTGTGTAGCACCTTTTCTTTGTAATAATTTCCTGATAACGGAAAGGAAAGCGAATCGCAATAAACCGGTCTACAGAAACACAGCACAAGCTAAAAGTTGTTGCGGTGGTCGTGTGAACCCAGAACATGTCTGTGAAGAAGAACAAATCACTATCAACCGGTGGCCGAATGAGACAACCGCTGGCTATCCAGATTGGGTCCATGACAAGCCCAACGAAAAGATCTGCTACCGACAGCGAGGCTAAGAAGCGGTTGGAAATTGTTCGCAATGACTCGCTTTTGTAGAACAAAAACAACACCACTGCGTTTCCAGCTACAGCTGCTAAACCAGACAATGTGAACCACAAAGATAGAACGATCGAAGCTGTAGTGCTGGGTTGTTCTTCCGGGCAAGCAGCATCCATGTTCTGCGGTTGGCAAACGGTGACCGTAGAAGTTTGAAAATAAGCTTACAGAAATGAAATTTGCAATCGCTTTTCCTTTTTATGGACCATATGTTACTCAAACTAAGGTACTGTTTTCTTTTTTATCTGCTGTTTATTGGTGGAAACGTGGAATTCATTTAAGTACATTCTTAACTTCATCAAATTACCTACTAAAAAACTACATAAATAAAAAAGATCTCAAACTGCAAAAATTGTTGCGAAACTCAATCCTGAGCTTCATTGATAGCTTATCGAGTGATCACAAAAAACAGCTTGATTCGAGTTACACTTATTTAGCCATGCTTAACAGTCTAGAGCCGGTCCATAATATCCTATTTATAAATCAGCATTACCACGGTACGCTAGAAAGGTACCTACGGTGAAATATTCTAGCACATTGATATATAGATATAATCCATATGCAATCTTTAGCTCGCTCGCAAGGGCTCAAAGATTCAGAGTGGATCTACGTTATGAAAAGGTTCGTCACTAGATCTGCCAATAACTGTCAAGTTTTTCTTACATCGCCCCAGATTAACTGACCACAGCTTATAACTAAGGCTAATTGGTGACCACCTTTCCGGGTTAAAGAAGAATCCTTTCCAACAATGGAAAGCCGAACACTATATGCTTCTGCTCAAACAAGAAAGCATATCCTGTCTATCCTCTCTTGGCTTGAATTGAAATTTCTCGCAGATCGAAGAGAATTATGTAAAAGGTTCAAATAAAAGGCTCAATGTTCTGCTTAATCAGAATCTGCCAAGTTTATGACTAACAGGTAGTATTCGCCTTACTTGTCCTTACAGCTGTGTCTCCTTATTTGAAAATTTTCCACGAGCTCCAACATTTCCTGCCTTCCGGGTTTTCTCTTGTTTTGGTCTGAGGTCTGATGCATTTTTATGGTGAGCACAGTGCAATCGATCAAAATTAAAGGTACGTCTGAATGCTTGGCAAAACTCACTATTTCTGAAATAGTATATCAGTGGGTTGATCGCCGATGAAGTAAAAGCCGTTGCTTGTACCCAAGGCAACGCCATGTAATGCAATTCGTGTTCGTTGCATTGTTTATGCTCTATTTTACGGTAATAATAAATGACAAGATCCAAGATTAAACATGGCATCCATGTAATGATGAAAACACCCAGAACAAGTCCAACTGTTTTGATAGCTTTGAAATTGTTTAGAGCCTGGCGTGAGCTGTAATTTGTGCGTTGATGTTCCTTCTTCACTTGTTTGTGTTGTTTATTAGCTGCTCTGAAAATAAAAATGTAGCAGAAAGATACTACGATAATCGGAAACACAAATAATATAAACGCAAATGACAACCACAGTTCTGCTTGATGATCAGTTGCCCCATTTTTGACAAACATTATCGGGAAAGGAAGGAACAGAGAGATTATCCAGATCACAGTTATCACTACACAACATCTTTTGTTTGTTAGAATCACTTGATAACGGAAAGGAAAGCAAACTGCAGTGAACCTGTCAACAGAAACACCGCACAAATTCCATGTCGTTGCTGCTGTAGAGTGAATCCATAAGAAATGTTCTATTTCCTGATTATGTGAAGGCTGGGGAAGATATCCGACTAGGAAGGCTGGCTCCACAACAGCTCCCACCAAGAGATCCGCTATGGACAACGAGACCAAAAATCTGTTAGAAACTGTTCGTAGAGACTTGTTTTTGTAGAACAGCCATAACACAACTGTATTACCGGATACAGCTGCTAAACCAGACAAAGCGAGCCACGACGATAGAACAATGAATGCGGCATCGCTCGGTCTATCTTCTGTGCAGTTAGAATTCATGTTTCTTCTCGGCAAAGGGTTGGTTTAGGACCAAATTGACTGATTATTTTCACACGGCTTCCAATATCAACATATAAACCGCCCTGAAACTCGACTCCACAGTTAAACGAGTTGTCGACTTTTGTTTCGATCTTCCGCGCGTGAGGTGAATAAATTATTTGAGACAGAATTCGAATTTCATTTACAGCTTGCGCTGTTTAACATATAATTAAAATGGATAATCTGACATCCACGGCTATGTGTCAAAAGAGAAGTATTAGCTTTTCAACCATTAATAGCAATGATTTAATAATTCATTTCCTTACATTGCGCAAGCATCAGTATAAAATTTCTTATTGCGCAGTACAGTAACATTACAGCTATACCAAGATATTAACGCTACAATATATATATGTTATTTGCCGGCTAAGGGTCGGTCCATATGCTGAAAAGCTGCGACCTCGGTCTTGAAAATGCTGCCCTCGGCAGGGCTCGGGCAGTATTTTCAAGAACGAGGTCGCAGTTTTTCACCATACGGACCGACCCTTAGCCGGTAAATAACATATTCATTTTTTTGAAACTTGACGGAATTCTTTCCGAAAGAACCCTAATGATTTAGGACTGTAAATACGGCAAGATCTTCCATAAACTGAACAGTTTTTGAGCGAGTAAATGGTAGTTAAAATAGAGGTGATGAAAATTCAAGAGAGATGCCCCAGCGAAACATTTTCATTTCCGTAACGATAATTTAAAAGGCTTCCAAACAAACTTTGAAACATTATTTTTACAAGTATCTGTCACAATCTGACAACTGTCAATTGGAGAGCGCGTAAGTAAAAAAAGCGTAAGAACATTTGAAAAACAACGGAACTAGTTTGGCAAGGACTGTCACGACAATGTTTTCTTCAAAAATAGTCAATGATCTAACGGGAAGTATTATTCACTCTCATCGACGATTCATTAATGTACGAAGATTTACCTTTGTTCATTAAGTAAACGGCGAGGAAAGTAGTTGTGAGTAAATTCAATTTTTTTATTTTTAAGTTGTGAGAGTTTGCTCGTTTGTTTGCTGCAATGGCGTGTGTAAATCTGGTCTTTCTTCACAGAAACTAAATCCGAATGGCACACTCCAACGAGACGCAAGGGGATTTAATGCGGTCTTTTCTCAAAAAATTCCTTCAGTTTCTGTTGTGCAATTTACAGTACAAATGTTCAAATTGAACGGACTTGGAAAGACTCACCGAGAGCGTATATTTGTTGTAGAACTTAAATTAAAACTTCCCTCGCTCTTTCACTGCGAACAAATTGCTTGAGAAAATTCAGGTATTAAGTGAATGAAAGTTCCATCGTTCAGTTTAACTGTAACCAAATATCTCACGTTTTAACCTTCTAGGTACTTTTTGCGAACGATTAAAATTAATTGCAGACGGATTTTAGGCCGCTTGTCAACCAACGCAATGACACTATGGAAACCAATATTTTCTGTCAACCAAAGTGATTTGAGAGAGGGAAAGGAGAGGATTCATAAGTTATTCATCGGCTTGAGGTAGTGACCGACGTGTTTGCTTAAAAATACTGCCCAGCCGGAAAAACGAGATGTATTTATGAAAAATGGCAACGAAAGTTGGGATGTACTTGGCGACTCACGAAAGCGTTACCATGGCCTTAGGCAGAGATAGGAAAATACTGACCGGGTAAAAAACTAATCACATTGCAAGATTCGTTACAGTGCCCTCTCAAAGAAATAAAAATAAAAAAAGGAATTGAGTAAGAAATACAGAAATATAAATTACATACGAAGAGTTAAAACAAATTGTGCCAAGAAAAAAGTCTTAATAGCTTTCTTAAACCTGTTTAACGATTCGATTTTTCTAACAGAACAGGGAAGATCGTTCCACAGTTTAGGAGCGGCTGCACGAAAAGAAAGATCGCCGAGCGTAGCTAGTGTTTACCCTTGCAAGGAGCAAGTCGTAAAGCGTCATTGGAACGAAAATTATATCTTCTGGTGTCTCTTACGGAAGTCAGTTCACTTCCTGGAAAAAGGAAAATTAAACATTCGATCTCCCGTCAATATGATCTTGACTTTAGACTCAATAGATGCTTTAAAGTTGGTTCTCAGTACACACCACGACTGAAAAAAACAACGGCTAAGAAAAATTACAATATTACAATATGAGAAGGCTTGGACTCTAATAATTGCCGAATAGGAAAATAGAACCCAGCCGTACACTCAGCAATTTTTCAGCGACCAATTCTGCTGTCTGTTCATTCTGCATGACTATTACTAGAAACGGCCTCTTACATGGTTTTATCATTGATTAGGAAAAATGTTTAAAAAATTTACGGCGTGTAGACTTTATTTTAAATCAATTTTAACAAATCGGTGACACGACCTTCGCGAAACTTGCGACCTTCGCCGATCACCAAAAAATTGAAATGAATACGAGATGGATTTTTATTGACAAACTCACAGGTGCATAACATTTCAAAAGCTTTTATTTCAGAGAAGCAGACGTGAAGAGGTTAATTAAAGAAATTCAAATGCAAGTTGTTGAAACAAAACTTTGAGCCTAAATTTGAATGTAAAAAATACTTTCACTTTCTATACTCTCAAATCCCTTCAACAAATGCAAAAGAATGATTCAAAATTTTCAAGACTTAATTCTGTTACGGATTTCACTGAAAACAAGTGCTAACTTTCATTTAATTTTCATTCAAGCTGCCAAGTCAGTCCTTCCTGCTTCTTGCCAGCATCATTAACTGATCAAGCTCAGCGAAGAGTGTCTGATGAGGAAAAATTTCATGTCATGAAAGACTTGAAACTTTTAATTACATCTAAGTGTAAACAAATAATTATGAAAGGGAATTATATGCGGAATGGACGAAGAGTGAAATTGATGTTTTGAAAATTGTGTCTTTATGAAGGGACTTATCTTATGATTAGGCAACAGTACTTTTTTCTTGAATTTTCCTTAAAGCTTTGTCTCTTTACTTGCAAAACTGACAGGATTTCCAACTTTTCGAGCCATTTGGCTTCGCTTTGGTTTTTGGCTGAGGTTAACGTTTGCTGAATTTTGTCCGTGAACAAAGGGCAGCCAGTGGACGGTGCGACGAAAGGCTTGGCGAAATTCGCTATTTCTGACATAGAAAATTAATGGGTTGATCGCTGATGAAGTAAAAGCGTTTGCCTCAATCCAAGGCCATACAACTTTGTCTACTTTGATGTCGTTACAGAGATGATTCGTCGCTGTATAATAAGAATGAACTACGAGTAAGACAAGACTGGGCATCCGAGAAATAATGTAAACACCTATAATATAACTGACCATCTTCATAGCTTTGAAATTTTTCATAGTACCATTTCCTTAGAATGTTTTCAGTAGAATGTTTTTTATTTGGAAGCTTTGACGATTTTGGCTGGGAAACATCCTTCTGCATTGACGTTGTGCAGCTTTAAACATAAACATATAACAGAAAGTGACCACAAATAATGAAGCGATAAATGTTACAAATGCCAAAGACAACCAAAGCACTGCACTTGCGATATTTCCCCACGGATCTAATGAAATCAGCCACACCAAAATAATCACCTTACAGCATCTTTTCTTAGTTACGATGTCCTGATAACGGAAAGGAACCCGATTCGCAATAAACCGGTCTACGGAAACGCAGCACAAGTGAAAGGTTGTAGCGGTAGTTGTATGAATCTACAACATGTAAATAGTGTAGTGCAAAGCACTCAGTAATGGTAGCTGTCCATTGAAAGTTGTTCGTAAAGACTCATTTCTGTAAAACAACCACAACATAACCACAACAATGGACGCTGCACTGCTGAGACGTTCTTCTGGACAGCTATCAATCATCTGATTTATAGACGACATCAGAAGCCGGAGAAGTTTGACATTTTTTTTTACGAATTTACCTAAATTCAATGTATTTGAACAAGGCAGATGTTACAGAAACTGATGAAACTCCGCTTTAGAAATGTTCTTTATTGACCGTAACGACAAAGTCTGGAGGTTAAGTCATAAACTTAAGCACGAAGCAGAATCCAAAAGAGAAAAAACTCTCTCAGGATATCTTTCCAACGTCTAGAGAAAATAATTTCCCATTTCAGTTTCTCTCGCCGTAGTTCAATGTCTTGATTACGTTTGTCGATACTGATAAGATCAATTCAGTTTTAACTTATTCGCGGAGATACGCAGACACTTGGCAAAACATGTTTACCTGAGATGCAGGTGCTTAGCGATGGCAAGGCCATGAGGAAAATTCGAAGGAAACTCTCTTTAACCCGTGCACACCATAAATCAACGGCTTATAGTTATTTCAACAGCTAGCGTTTAACTTCATTTCCAAAAGTGATTCCTCTCCTCATCCATTTAATTTCAGCATTTTAAACCAGGCGAGAGTAGTCATTTGACACGGAACGTAAAGTTTTGTAGCCCCATTAAGTACTGAAATGGATCTAAAATGAAGTCATTAATTTAGTCATTTTAAAGAAACTTCACTTTTTTCATTACTCTTTTGCTAAATCTTCTGTAAATCTTGATATAGGCAGGAGCAGTTGTAAGGATTTCAACAGGAAAAAAAAGAATACTCGCGCTTTTCTCGAATAAAATCCGGCGACCAGTACAAACCGGCAACAAGTTCTCTCTGGGAGATTCCGGGCTATTGTTGGAAACTTCAGCAAAATGCACCGTGACAGGTGAATTACCATTGCAAGTTACAGACAAAGATGAATAAGGGAGATCTAAGCAAGACGGCACCAGACCTCACTCTTCAACAGATACACCATGTCACATCAGCGCTAAGTTACAGACAGAAACGTCAATAATTCACTTTCGGGGTTTCTGTTCTCAAAATACGTAAATTTTGGAGACTTCGCGCTGTTATCTTGCAGGGATCGCCCAAGAAATGTTCAAAGCCTTAAAGCGCACATGCGGGGCCATCAATCTTCTTTTTAAAAGTTTTGTTTCACCACGATCTCGTTGCCGTCGACTTCTTTCTTTGTACAAATTAAAGTTTGTGTTATCTAGGTGGGAGAACTAGGGGCTTTATTCCAGCTCACGTTACCACATCGAAAGTGCAAGTAGGACTATTTTGAACACCTGACGAAAATCGCCATTCTCACTCAAAAATAA